TACATTTAAAAATATATATAGATAATTCCTCTGCTCCTCTGCTTTTTTCTATTTACTTACTAATTACTTTACTAATTTTTCTGAGCTTGTCTAAATAAACTTTCATTTTTTCATTATCATCATTACATAATTTTCTGCACTATCTCGTCCTCACGGTAAACTAAAAATAGGGGTTTAGACTGATAAGTCGTAAAGCAACTTACCGTTTAAAACTATTAGCTTACCATGAAGACGAAAAACATGAGCTAAAAATAAGACAAAATCTATTTGTGTACCCAATGAGCCAAGTTATTAAAAGAAAGTTAAAATTATCGAAATACTTTCCAGTGGAGGGGCGATAATTGCACAAGACGACGTCGTCATTGGCGGCAGCTGGCAACAGACAACGGCCGAGTGGCATTTGAAAGTCTTTGACTCGCTGCAGCTAGCTCAAATAAAAATTGCCTCGGTCCAAGGTAATGGGCAATTAGCTGCAGCAACCTTCTGGGCCAACACGGGCTAGTCAATAGTCAAACAAATGAGGCAAGCGGAAAACAAACTCCGGAGTGCGCCTGTCATGGATACTGCAATTTGCTGGCCAGTCGCAGATACTCGCCGATACAGATACAGATACAGATAGCCTTTAATTGGGTTTAACTGACTGTCAATGGCGGTAGCCAGCTGGCGGGGGGTGGTCACTGCCCAGGGGGTGCACTTGGGCATTGTTGCAGCCAGGGGTGCACGATGCATGATCATCGGGGCAATGAGTGATCAAAGTTATGGGCCGAAGTCGGTTTTGCAGCAGGGGTGCTTCTATTGAAAGCCATAAATTTACTATGGGGTCTGAAAGGTTTTCGATGTTGTTTTCGTATATTATTTTCCTTGCTTTGAATGGGTTTGAAAACTCGGAAATAAAATGAGGATTTCCACCAGAAGGCCAAGAAATCTAACAGTTAACATAATCATTTGTGTTCTACATTAATAGAAATAAAACTTTACCAAGCAATTTGCATTTAATTTTATCACAAGTCTCTTTTGTTTTTCCCCGTTGTTTTGCTTTCAATGTTTGGGAATTCCTGGTTTCTTATTGTCTTATCATTTCATATTTGCTTTTTAAACTATGAACCTAAATGTAAATAAAATCAAGTATATTATAAAAATCTTTTAAGTCCTATATGTGTTTCATTTTTAAAGAATATAACGATCGGTTTAATGTGCTAACTTTCTCGCACTATATTCTTATAAAAATATTTGTTAGCCCAATTTGCGCACATTGATTTGACTTTTTAAAAGTAAATGAACTGACCAAGTTTTTTTATGCAAACATTTTTCGAGCTCCATCGCTATGCAAATAATTGGCTATCCCTCAATCGATACCCCATAATTAGCCCCACTTCCGACACATTTCTGACTACCTGACGGGACCCCAATTCGAATTCCGAATCACGGATCGATCGGATTGCCAAAAGTTGAGCTCATTTCGACTCATTTCGCCACCGAAGGCAAACGGATAATATTTACGACTATCTGTGAAATTCGCATGCCTCTCAGGTTTCCGGCACGCGTTCACGCATTTCAAAGTGATCGAAATCAGAAGCGAGGATCGCAGGGGGAAGTTGGACACGTTTCCCTGATAAACATAATGAGGCTGGACGGAAGAGGAGTGACAAACTTCGGCGCATGCGCGCAGGCGGATACAAGTCGTATTTTACAGATTCAACACATTGTATACACATTGTATCTTTCGATTTTTGTTTACTCAGTGTAATTTGTTATCAACCCCTTTGTGTCCCGCCCCTGCGGTCTGATCATGCTTATCTGAACTCCTTATCAGTGCACCACATATGACTTTGTCTGCGGCGGAATGAGAAGCGTAATCGGTAAACTCCGAGCGGTATTCCCAGGCTGAAACTGCGGGAACGGTTTTGCCCGGTTTTGTTTTTTTTTTGGTTTTGCGGCGAGGTAGCAAAGCCAGAGGGTGTCCCAGATAACTGGCTATCACCCATCGGCGCTATCAGCGCTGCTGGTCAGCATAATCAGGCTATCCAGAACCGCATTTCACTCTCTGACCAAATATTTTGGTTTCGCTTAAAATTGAAATTGGGGTCTCGCTTGGTTTTAATCTCCGTCTTGAAGCGAATGACAAACAAGTTTCCACTTTCACTTGAGCATGGTATGGCAGAAGACCCGATAACCCAGAACTGGTTGTGGTTGTTGGAACAACTTACTGCTGTTATTGTTGTTTCTAGGGTTCCGATTCCCGCCAGACCGATGGGCAAACATTATTGTTCCATGGAATTTTTGCCCCAGCTTTTCTCTGATAAGGGAAGACCTTACTCAATACCGGGAATCGGGGTCAACCCCCTTGAAAGACTATTCCTCAGAATCATCTATACTTTTTCTAGCAATCTAAAATATGCAATGGAGTTTCCTCTTAATGAAATGATACGTTTTTAAAACCCTCTTTCGATTTAAAATAATATACTTTTGGTTATCGCGCACTTTAAAAATAATTTGCACAGTATAATAGGGGGAATTTTGTATAGAAGATAAACAATAAAAAATAACAATGATATAAAACAAGACAAATTAACAATGACAAAAAGTTTATTCATCTACAAAGAACCTTGAACATTTCATGATTTCTTAAATTAAAAATTTTATGAATTTTATGTTGTTAGTTTAATTTTAAATATTTTAAAATGTAATAACATCTTATTTATTACATAAAACAACAGGGCCTGTTCTTACCAAATAACTAATATACAAAATTATTAAAAATAATAATTTTATTATGAGAAACATGTGTATTCTCAAGCATTTCAAACATAGGTACATAAATAAACTTTTTTAAAGTTTAAACTCAAGCCGTACGTTTCAAGTCATATTTTTAAAAATATGTCGGCAGTTTAAAATTTTGTTATATGTGGCAGATAGTTACGGGTTAGACGACTTAGATTTTTTTAAGCCCCTCCCCGCTCCTTTAAGCCAAATGTGCAAGGGCTTCATCAAGTTTTAGTGTGTCCGCCATAAACACCGCATAAAGATGATGGCATTAAGACCTAAACCCGGCGAAAATCCCCGACGAAGTGTAAAAATCCCAGCATGAGTTGAGCTCAAAAGCGCAAGCTAGCAAACAGAAAGCAGTAAACAGTAAACATTGAAAAACACGGGCGAAACAAAGGGGGAAAATAAACGCTTTCGTCATCGCTGGCGGCGTCATAAGCCAGTATATACTTCTCTTAAGTCAAAGGTAGTGACTCTTAAATCAAAGCGAGATCGGAAAGACTCCTTTGTACAAAGCCAGTTTTTGCGGTACCTGCGGAAAAGCTCAAAGATACGGCGATATCACTTGTATCTTTGAGTTACGTAAATCCGCTCTTTTTTGCGGGGGAGCAGAGCAGAGTGAGAGAGAGCGCCCGAGTGCTTTTCTCCCCGCTTCGAGTGAAAGAGAGCGCGGCGGCGCAGTGCGGCAGAGATTAAGATACATAAACAAAACGGCAAAGCATGCGAAAGCCAGCACAAAGCAGAGAAACAAAAACAAACGTCGGTGAGAAACCGGAAAATTGCCAATGCCAAATGGCCGCGAAAGAGAGCGCAGCCGCGCGAGAGAGAGTGTGAGAGAGCGAGCCGAGTGCAATTGCCGAAGCGATACGAACAGAGGCGAATGGACATGAACCGCGGCGATTTCAGCGCACAGAATCATTCTCGAAATCGCGCGCGAACCTTTCGCACCATCAGACCGCAGATACAAAGATACAAATCCGCAAGAAAATCGCAAGACCGAAAATCGCAAAAAAAAAATAGCAAGCCGAGTGTTTTCCCCCGTTCGCAAAAGGAAAAGCCCTGGCAGCCGAAAAGTGCAAGTGAAGTGAGGGAGTGGAGTGAAGTTACTGCCAAGTATAAAAGCGTATAAAAACAAATTAGGAACGAGGCCTAGTGGCCCAAATTCAGAAAGCGAGAAAGCAAAGAAGATCAAGCGAAAATTTGAATAATTAAAAATAAACACGCGCCGTGCGAGAGAGTGTGAGTGTGCGTGCGGCGTATCCGTCAGATACGCGCCCGCTGACGTATTTTCCCCGAATACCGTTATAGCCGCCAACGCTGCCGGCCGGCTTTTTGTGCCCAATTAACGCACATTCAACAAATTGCCAGACGCGAAACAAAAAAAAACAAATTGTTACAGCGGCATCGGAATATCGAAATAAGCCCAGTTTATCGGCCGTAATAAATCGCAAAAAACCTTTTCCTTTCGTCTCATTTAATTTCGCTGCGGTTAGTTCTGGTGCAGTGCAATAGAGGAAATAAAGAGAAAAGTTTATAAATAAATATATACAATATACAAATAACTGAATGCAGATGTTTGGCATAATAAGTGTCACAATCAGTGGTGAAAAGGTGATTGCATAAGGATATATCTACACTGCCACTGTTACCAAGTGACCTCATTCAAGGTTGCCTTAGAGGCACCAAAAACAATATCCTATACATTTTGCAGTTTACTTGGTTTCTCAATTAGCGCCCACGCGCGTCGAAAGTTTTTTAATTGTTTTGCATTTTTACTTGGTTAATGTAAATGTATAAGGAGGGCTTTACGGTGGTCTGTAATTAACCTTGAATCACTCACTTTAATTCCACTTTTTTTTGCCCCTGTGAACTATAATTTAATTGGTTTTCACTTCTCGGAAATAGTTACACCACGATTTCACCGTTTTTCAATTCAGATTTCCAGGGAAATTGCCGCGGAGTAGATACTATTACTATTATTTAGAAACATCCGACTTGCGTGACGGATGCAACAATGTTAGATGCAGATACCCCCAGGAATATGTGTTCCATGTCGCCATTTGCTCAATTAGGAATCGCTTTAAAGTGCCCACACTGCGTCATTAATTTTTAATGGGATGCTCAATAAAGTTGTACGCTTTAATTGTTTTTTTTTTTTACGAGTGACTCACGACTCGCAGCGACGATAAGAAGGCTGTCTGACTAACCCAAGTCTTATTCTGTCCCCCCCACAGGAACCAATTGAGCTGAAGAAGCGCCTGGAGGAAGTGCGTCTGCTGGAATCGCGACGCTCCGCCCGCCTGGCAGATCAGGATCGCGACACGGACTTCGCCAGACTCGCCGACATGAGTGGCGAACGCCGCAGAACCACCACACACAGTATTGAGGTGCCATCGCAGCTCACGGCGCAGCACAAGTGAGTACTACCTGTAACCATTCACATAAAGTATATAGATCCACAAGGAATAGAGATCTTTGGGGCCATATCTTCCAGCTTTTTGCTTATTATATTACAAAAGTTATATAGAAGCTTTCACACAAAGAATAATAAATTTCTGAAACATATCAAGAGTTAATAAAGAATTTTAGAACCAGATCTTTTTGATGCTAAATTTTTTTATTCTTTCAAATACTTATCTGTCTATTAAAACAAAAGCAGGAAATAAGATATCTTATAATTGCTATGATTGCAAATTGTTGAATAAAACAATACTAAGTTAAAATCAATTTGTATAAAAACATTTCAATGAAAACTCATGTTTTTTGGATTAAAAAAAAAAAATTAATTACACTTAAATGAACTGACTACTTAGAATTTTGTGTATCTGTAGGCTTACATGAATACGTGTTTTTGTTTATATACCTAGGTAACAAACCATTCTGTCCCCCACTACTTTTGCCCGGTTCTTATTCGCATTTTATTCGTTCGTTTTGTGTTTTCGACTTTGGCTGGCTTTTGCATAAATATGCAACGATTGGCGTCTGTGGAGACTGGGCCATATCAATAATTTATAAGTGGCGACAAATTAGCGGAACCGGCCACCAAGTCACGGACATCGCCCGATCCATGTATAATATCTATAATAAAATTGTGTCTCCGTCTTGTCGGCCAGCTGCGCCCTCTGCGGGCCACGCCCAGCTGTTTAGCATAGACGCCGCTTTAACTGCACTTACATAAAGAGTTCTCACCAGCTCCACCACCACCCAACCCCCCTTCCACTTGCCTTCGGCAGAACGACAGCTGATTGCAAAATAATTCAAATTTTCAATTACCACCCGCTCAGACGTCGCGACGACTACGCCGAACTTAAAGACGGCGGCGACGACAAAAAATACAAAATACGAAATACTAACATTTGATTACGAAGGCAAATAGTCGCGCCGGGTGTCATAGTCTAAGTGAATGCTCTAATCAAATGGGTGCTTTTTTATTGAGAACAGAAAAATTAGAGGCGGATAGAACTTTTTATTTCAGAAAGTTTAAGCTAACTTTACAAGTGTGACCATGAAACCATTTCAACTAAGTTAGCTTACAAATGTGACCATGCCTACGAAATTTGGGTCAAAACTAGGATAAGAAATTGCAATGTATTTATTTCAAATTGATTAAAGTTAATTCCAAATCAGTGGAAGAACAAACCGGAGTATCTAACAGGGAAATAGGTGATATTCTGCAATTATCACTTTGCCCCATTAATATCTCGACAACTGCAGAGCATTAAATTTCCGACTTGCAATTGGAGCGATTGTCACTCGCCGCTGATGGTTGCGTATTCCATTCCAATTTCAATTGATAAGCCTCGCGCGCCGCAGTCGAAACTATTAGTTAAGTGTGCAAAAAGCAGCAACATCAGCGGCTGCGCTGAATGCCGGCCACGTTCTCAATTGATAATAAAAATAATAACAATAATAATCAAAATAAAGAAAGCAAAAAAAAGGAAAAGAGGGAACTGAAAACTGAAAACAAAAAGCCCAGGCAGGCGGTAAAATATGGCGCGTCATGTCCAGCCAGGGGGGAGGGGGAGGGGTCTGTCGGGGGTGTGGGGAAAAATGGAACTGGGGGGTGAGGGGAAAATGGGGGTTTGGCGGCAGGGGGCACTTCAATTGCGTCGTAAATGCCAGCGACCATCCCCAGTCGAAGCTAAAAACAGCTGGAAAAACTAAAACTAAAGCCAGGCGGCATGTTGCTGTTGGGACAGCCAATGTTGCTGCTGCTCTTGCAATTGGTTGCAGCTAGTGTTGCAATTGTTGCTGCTTTGGCTGCTGCTGTTGTCGCTTATGTTGCTGCTGTACTTGCAATTGTTGGTCCTGCTGTTGTAGCTTATGTTGCTGTTGGTGGACTTGTTGTTGCTGCTGTTCTTGCAATAGAAGCTGCTGTTGCTGTTGCTCCTGTTGCCGGCAAAAGAAAAACAAATTCAAAAATGCTTCTCTTAGTGTTTCTGTTTCATTGTGTCGTTGGCTGTAATAAAATTCAAATAAAATTCAATTGAGTTCATCGCGAGTCGCTGGGCCAGTTTAATTTAATTAATTACATTGAAAAGAGAACGCGAGATGTGGCATGTGGCATGTGGCAGATGGGGGGACCGGGGACACCCTGTAGCTGTGAAACCGAAACCGAAACTGAATATTGCCGGCTTGCCGGGTCTTGCTGCAATTTCAGTTAGTTTATCATTGCTCCAGTGGCCCTCTGGTTTTATTTTATTATTGTTTCGAAACACGCCTGCGAATGCGGAAATATTTTTTCCTCGCACACACAGATACGCAAATAAGCTGTAAGCACAAAGCTCTCGTCGAGTTGAGTGTGTGTGTGTGTGTGTGAGTGTCTATCGTCGCCATATTCTTTATGTTTTGATATGCCATCTGGAGAGCAAGAGGGAGATGGCACGACGGGGCACTCACACACACGTGTAATGATAACAACTCGCTCACCTTGCGCGGCACCGCTCCAGCCCCCTCCAGCTCCTCCTCCTCTGCCCAACGAGTGACACGCGCTTCTCGCGTAATGCGACGTAATATCAAACGGGCAGCCCCCTCCCCCTGTTTATAGAACCCCCACCCACTCCTCACATTACTAATCTGAAATGTGCTTTTCTCGTTTACGTGTGCGCGCTCTTCTTTCCACTCGGAATTTGGTTTTTAATGCGTTGCTTTTTATTATTATTAATTTACATAGTTTGGCAACCGATCTGATAGTTTGAGTAAACAAAACTTTATTTTTCTCAGCGTTTTCCGTATTCGTTAATTCCCGGGTAAACAAGTCATCAGTTGAATAATGTTTACCTCCAGCCGGTTGTTAGTCTCAAAAAGCTACAATTTGTTTGATGTAATAGTTGATTTTGTTACTCTATGAACTTTAAATATCAATTTAAGTTCATCATCAAAAATACTTTAAAATAACAAATTAGTTAGTCAACCATAAGCTTCTGAAATAAGCCTTTGAAATCTGAACAATATTTCGTTTCAATAATAATTAATTAACTTCCACAGCTTAGCTGCCTCTAGTTTATTTGAGCTGAATTTTAATTATCTGAGCATTTTCCTTTTAATAATTGTTGTCAACTTGTTCGTCAGTCGTGTAATCTTCGTAAACTCCAGCTAACAAGGAAAGTCCAACTGCAAATCATCTTTGATTCTCAGGTAGCCCATCTACAACCTTTTATTACCAGCCATTTTATGGCAGGGCAATTGCAGTTGACAGACAAAGAACGCATAATGATACAGCAGAAAAAAAGAAAATAATCATAAAAAAGAATCAGAGAAAAAATGGAAGCGAATTAAGTGCGGAAAAAAGTGGTAATAAATATAATAAGCGCGTAATTATCGCGTAAATGTCAATTTACGCGGCGAATGCGTTGCGTCAGTGCTAATTTTTAACGCTCGAGTGGACCCCATCTATATGGAAACCTACCCCCTCCCCCCCATAGATCCCCTACTAGGGGTCGTTCGTCTAATGAAAGCGTGTAAGCGTCAATTGGCCAGGTTACTCAGTTATAGTTAGGTTTGTTGTTGCTGCTGCTGCTGTTGTAATTGCAATGATTAACAACAGCACAGCTCCCCCCCTTTCCACCCTCTAACCCCTATCCCCCTCTCCCCCCGTGCAGTTGCATTCGCCGCTGTTGTTTATTGCAAAAACAAACAATATGGGAAACTGGCAGTGAGCAAAGAAAAGCAAAAGAACAGCACAAAAACACACACACAGAGCGGCAACAACAACAGTAATAATAAAATAATTTACAAACAAGTTTACCGTTGCAAAACAAAAAAGAAAAATAAGAATGAAATCAACAAAAAAAAAACACGACAAATTCAGAACAACAATAACAAGTTGTAAATAATTATTCAACAAGTTTTACATAGATGGGGAAAAACAAAAAAATTATGTCTTAAAGTCAATTAACCAAATCGACTTTGGCTTTAACTAATGTATTAGTCATGGTATCGATTTGATACCGATTTCCAATGTAAATTGGCTGAGAAGCATTTAAGCTACCCTTTGGCAGAAAATTCCAGTGACGAAGGCTGCATAAACAACGTTTTGAGGTGACGTCAAGAAAATAGCAATAACAACGGGGAAAGCGCACGACAAAAATGAAAAAGCAACAACAAAACAGGGAAAAGGGAGTGGGATGAATAGGGGAGGGGGTGCTGGTGGAAAAACAGAATTCAAATCCAAGTTGGCTGGCAGCGGCAATTAGCCGAGACTTGAAAAATATTTGCCAGTTGTTTTTTGTTTAGCTTTGTTCTCCACTGCTGCTGGCAAGCGACTATGTACAAATATTATTATGAGCGACTGTTTGTCTTGCCCTCAAAAATACGCCGAGAGCCGAGCACAACAGCTCGCAAAAAAAGAAGGAAAAACGAAAAACGAAAAAAATAATACTTAATTTCAGTACAATAAAAAGTCAAGTCGAGCGCAAAAGTGGGTCAAAATTATTATTGAAGCAGAACAAAAACAAAGCCAGCAGCAAGGCAACGATAATGGCAATGCAGAAACAACAACAAAAGGCGGGGAGAGGGGTATTGGGGATGGGGGATGGGGGGGAGCGAGAAAAATTTATAATAATTTTCTAAGCGACGGCCCCTCGACGGCAAATTATTGAAATGCATTCGCATTTCGCATTCACCCGGCCAGGAGAGACACTTTAATAGCAGGGACCATATAACCTATATATACCCCTCGAATAGAGCCCTCTCTCGCCCAGAATTTCCCCCCAAGTTGGGCTATCCATTGCCCATGCACCGTTCCAATGAACGTAAACACAATTTCCCAATGTTCTGCACGAATAGTTTGTTTGATCGTAAAATTTTATTTCTGCATTCAAATCGCAGCGCTAAACAAAATGCAAAAAGAGCGAAGAACGCGAAAAAAAACCAAAATGCCATTGCAGTTGTGTGCTTTTACACAGAAAGAAAAGA